CGTCGCAATCCCTTCTTCTCCATTCTCCTCTCGGGATCTTGGGCACGCATGCACACGCGCCCGGCGTGGGTTTTAAGCCACCGGGTCCGGGACACGAACCACGGTCGACTATGTGGGAGTCCAGCGACATAGCCATTACGCTAACTGCTGGTTCCAATATTCTAAATTCTTTATCAGACATTTCCATGATTTCCATTGAACTGACTGTGGATGAAGAACAGTTATTCTTTTCCCATGGAAGAGAGGTATTTTCTTGCTTTCCAATATTTCTTGTGGCCCTGTGGTGATTTCTAGTCATCTAATGGATGGTGTGTTTCTTCCTAAAGTTGAAGTTCAATTTGAGCATTCAGGCACGTTCAGAAAGAGGTGATCTGGAATTTCTTTGCGCAGCAGATTCAGTAGATATTGATGAATATGTTAACCCTAATAGGAATGGAGATTGGGGGACAGAGAGGTGAGATAAAAGAAAAGGAAAACAGAGAGAAACAACAATAACAACAAAGAAACAGGAAAAAAAATTAAAAAAAAAATTTTTTATAAAAAAAAGCAAAAAATAGAAATTACTAGTTCTCAGGAGCCTGGAGGAATCTTCTGAAGGCCTGCCCCTTACCTCTTCACTCAAAGTTTGTGAGCTGGAGGCTGAATTATCAGTAGAAAATCTTCATTTCTCTTTTTTCCCCTGAAATCACTAGTTCTCGGGGCCATGGAAGAATCTTCTCCATATTAAACCCTTAAAAAAGCCTCCCAAGGCTACTGAGTCAAGTCAGGAATTGTGCCTTTAAGTACCTGTACTTGAGAGATTTTTGGTCCTGTCAGAAAGTGACTTTCTTTACTTACCTGCCAGGCAGAACTGTTTATGGTACCAGGCAATCTTTCCAAGAGCTTCTGTTGTCTTTCTTGAAATCTGCGTTATTTGGGTCCAGCAGTTAGCACAATGGCTATGTCGCTGGACTCCCATGTAGTTGACCATGGTTTGAATTCTGGACCCGGTGGCTTAAACTCACGCCGGGCGCATGTGCATGTGTGCCCAAGATCCCGAAAGGAGAATGGAGGAGAAGGGATTGCGGCATGGCCATCCCCTCTGGGGGGTAAAAAAAAAGAAAAGAAAAGAAAAGAAAAGAAAAGAAAAGAAAAGAAAAGAAAAGAAAAGAAAAGAAAAGAAAAGAAAAGAAAAGAAAAGAAAAGAAAAGAAAAGAAAAGAAAAGAAAAGAAAAGAAAAGAAAAGAAAAGAAATCTGTGTTAATTCCTTAACTTTCTGGTCATATCTTCAGAAGTGACATTCCAGTCAAAGCCCTGGCAATAACCAGCACTTCCAATTTCTGATGCAAGGCAACAGATATTATTAAACATGCAGATAACCATTCTACCACAAAATTAAGAATGCTCACAAATATTTTCTAATTCCAGAAGGGTCAGGATGGGAGAAAAGTTTATGTTTCAATTTCTTAAATAATAAAGTTCTGAACCTATCAGCAGCTCAAAAGAAAACACAAATCCTAAATCTGGGAGACAAAGCATAGAATAAAATTAGTAATATTTTAATCAAAAGTCATAAAATTCAATTTCACCGATTCAGTCTCATGTAATTAATCTCTTTTGTTGAATTTGAAGTATTACTGTGGTCCTATCTTTCCACATAAATCCTGAAAGTTAACATTCAACATAATTACTGATATTTTTGGACTTGTCCCTATCATTAAGTTGGCCATTTTCTTGGTTGTTTTTTGTTCTTATTTCTGTGTGTCTGTATTTAGTTTTCCTGGTATGGCACTCCCTTCAGAACTTCTTGAAGAGATGGTCTAGTGTTAGTAAATTCTTTCAGGTTTTGTTTATCTGAGAATGTTTTTATCTTTTCTTCTCATATGAAGGATAATCTTGTCCAATATAGTATTTTTGGTTGAAATTCTTTTTCGCTTAACACTTTGAATATATTTCCCCATTCTTTTCTTGCTTGTGTTGTTTCTGATGAGAAGTCCGATGTTAGCCTGATGGGATATCCTTTGAAAGTAACAACGTTTTTCTCTTGCCAATTTTAGTATTTTGTCTCTGTCTGTGGTTTTGGTCAATCTGGCTCTGATATGCTTTGGAGAAGATTTTCTTGGGTGGATTCTATGTGGGGTCCTTTGTATTTCTTAGTTCTGGATATTTGAATGCCTCTCTGTGTTTAGAAAATTTTCTTGCAGGATTTCATGGAATAGATTATCAATGCACTTATTAGTTTCTTCACATTCTGGGATACCATTGATCCAGATGTTTGGGCGTCTAATGGTACCTAGTATTACTTGTATATTATTCTCATTTTTGGATTATTTTTCTCAGTCTTTGTGGTGAATTTTTCTAGGTCAGAAATTCTCTCTTCTACATCTGAGATTCAACCTTCTGTATGATCTAATCTGCTTTTATACTTTCAAGGGAGGTTTTGATTTCCTATATTACAGCCTTCATCTCTAACAGTTCCGTTTGATTCTTTTTTATGGTGTATAAATTCCTCTTTCAGATCTTGCAAGAACTTCCTCACCTCTTGGAACTCATTATCTCTTCTGCATTTTCTGGAGTTTGTTGTCTCTCTTCTCTTGCATGTCTATTAGCTTTGTCATTATGAATATTCTAAAATCTTTATCTGACGTTTCCACGAGTTTCATTGTTTTCTATGACCCTAAAAGTATTCAGATGTTTGGCTAACATGCACCTAGGATGATGAAGGGCTTTTCGTTTCCCTTGAGGGAGAGATATTTTCTTGATTTCCCATATTTCTTGTGCCTCTATGGTGGTGGTTTCTGGTCATCTGATGGATTATACGTTTCTTTCTAATTTGGAGTTAATTCTGAGTGTCAGAAGCGTGCAGGAGGAGATGACTCACAATATCTGTGTAGTTCCATTTCCCTAATGCTCACCAAGCAACCTGTGCTTTTGTCATTGAAACTGGATATTACAAAGGCCTCCCAGTTTCTACAAAACAGGTGCACCTGGGCTGAGTTTCAACTAAGAATTCAGAGGTGTGTGGGAGGAGATGAGCCACACTCTCTTTGCAGCTCCATATTTCACCCTGCTTCTCACTTTGCAATCTCTCTTGTCTGATTTTTAGTCATTTGGTGGTATAGTCAGTCATGTTTGGTTAATTTGCTGGAGGTTTCTGCAACTGTAAGTTTGTATGCTTCCCTTTACTGTGAGGTAATCCTATGCCAGTTTCTCTCCTCTGTTGTGTTTTGCAGTGTGGTATCCACAGAGATTCGAGTTCAGATTTGTGAAGATGAGTTTCTCCCTTTCTCAGCAGGTTCAGTGGGAGTTGAGGTTTCCTATGACCCTTTCTTTCATATCCTGGCTTGCCTCACTCAGCAATAAATCCTCCATATCCAACCACTTTCTATCAAATGCCAGAGTCTTTTTTTATGGCAGAGTATATGTGCCACACTTTTTCGATCCATTCATCAATTTGTGGACATTTGGGTTGGTTCCATGTCTTAGCGAGCTTGAATGATGCTGCAATGAACATTGATGTGCAAGTGCTTGTCCGATTGAGCATTCTCCTGTCCTTTGGGTAGATACCCAGAAGTGGGATTGCTGGATCAAATGGTAGTTCTATTTGTAGATCTTGAAGATCCTCCATATTGTTCTCTACAGTGGCTGAACCAATTTACATGCCCACCAACAGTGTAGGAGAGTTCCAATAATGAATGATTTTAAGCCTGATGTCTTTTACTCAGGAAACAGATATGTTAGCAGTCCTTTGATCATTTTAAGAGGATTTTTGTTGTTATTTTTAAAAATGTATTCCAAATCATAGTCTAAAAATATGATTTGATACCAAGATACCATTTTTAATAATGAATTTACATGTAGCAATTTTAAATTTAATGTATTTGCTCTAGAGGTGTATTAATTTTTGTTTAAAGTATTTTTATATTATAGTAGAGTATGAGTTTTCTAAAACTATCAGAAAAATAAGTCTTTCATAATAACTCTTTTAGGCACCCCACAGTCTACTTGAAGCACTAAAACAGCATTTAGCTTCTTTGGAAGAGAAAAATGACATTTTACCTCCTTACAGGTAAATTAAATGTCTTAATATAGGTTAATTTTGTTTCCCTCTAAATAATTTCCTTAATCCTAAATGTTAAACAATATGAGATTGACGGAATAAATTATGAACTATGAATATGATGGAAAAATATTCAGCTATGTTAAATGATTATATGGAACAGAATCCGTAAGTTTTTTGTGGGAATCCATACCTGGGTAATGTATTTTTTTAGAGAACATCTTTTATTAAAGTGAATGACTCTCAAAGTCAGAGGTTGGGATGGGTATATCCTTCTCTTTTCAAGAAGTTGATTCCCTCCCTTAGGGACTCCTGTAGTGAGAATAACTGTTGTAGAAGATTACTTAATGGTATGTCAAAGTGTTCATTTGCAAGACAGTATGCATAATAACGTTCAAGTACACACACATGTACATGCATATACATACAGCTTGAATGATATTAAATTTGAAGGAAATCACCTCAAACACGTTCACATTAGTTGTTTCTGAGTGGAACAACTATAGTTGATTTTAGGGGTTTTTTTTGCACTTTTCTGTATTGTCAAAAACTTTTACAAAAGTTAAGTATTATTCATTCATACTACTTTTTTAGTTATGTTGATTTTAATTGATTTATAGTATCACCCTCTTTTAGACAACAAGTTTGTTGACAATGATCTCTTTATCAAAGATAGACATACAGTTGGTAAATGGTTTGATAGATTATAGATGGATGAAGAAAAAAATGTATGCTCAGCTGGGTAAGTTATATGGGATTCTATTTATTCTCCAGTATGCCTTATCTTTCTTGTGATCTCTTAAGTTTCCAGCATGCATTGATTCCATCCTTCCTAAATAGTCCAGTTGTGGAAACTCCAACAAGCAGAAGTTGGTTTTCAGGAGGTATGACATTATTTCATGACTATTTCAGTAATAAATGAAGACACAAATAGAATCTTTAATTCTTCCCTTGCTTCTTCCTGAAGCAGAGTCTTCCTGAAGCAAGTTTATTTCTAGAATTAATTCAACCTATATATATTCACAACTGTAAAGTGATGTATGAAAAACATTGCAACATTATAGTAAAACATGACTATCAAAAAGAGGCTTATTTTTATGTACTGAAATGGAACAATCACCATGATGTATTTTTACATGAGCAAGATGTGGAAGTATGTTATGCTGCCATTTTACAAAAGCCAGTGGTTTACATTTTCAGGGATATTTGCTAGCTGGTTATATACCACATTGGTAGCTTGAAACTGGCCATGATAGGAGTATTTATACCACAGAAATGGGCAAACACTACAAATCGGATCTATCTTTTTCTGGAGAGCTAATTGTTATATATTTACTGACACACGGCCACTCATAGGCAGCCATATTTTGTATTTTAATGGAGTATCGTGTTTTAGTGATGTTACTTGATTTTTCATGTTAGACACAAATCCATGTAATAATGAGCTATGGAATCATAGGATTTATATGTGTTTGAATTAAATTTCTTTCATAATTTAACTTAATGATTTATGCTGTATCTATTTTAAATTTTGTTTTTGTTATTTTTTTGTGCATATATTTTCAATGGACACACTTTCTGCATTTTTAATGGATGAGTTTGACCAAAACTATGATGAACATAAGTCCTGACTAAAATCGTATGTATAGCAAAACTATGTGTTTGCTTCATTTCTAAAAGACTGTTGTCACTTTTCTTTTTCTTTTTTAGGGAGGTTTTCTTGCTATAGAATGTGTGAGCTTGCCAGAGAGACAGAGAGAGATAGAGAGACAGAAAGCAAGAAATCACCCCCAAGGGGAGATGGCCACGCTGCAATCTCTTATCCTCCATTCTCCTTTAGGGATTTTGAACACATACTCACACATACGCCCAGTGTGAGTTTTAAGCCACCAGATCCAGGTGGTCACATGGGAGTCCAGTGACATAACCATTATGCCATCTGATGGTCTCTACCGTCACTTTTCTGAGTGCCTGTGGTTTGGGAATCATGGTGCTTACAACTATTACAAGGCAATTAAACAAAGTGGTTAAGAGAATAATCTCTGGACATAGTTAAATGTGAATGTGAATCTCGAATAGAGTGTAGTAGAAAGAAGGGAGCTGCAGTATTATAAAGGCCCATATTGGGGCCTTATACCACAGAAATGGGCAAATTGTTATATATTTATTGGCACATGACCAGTATTTGTATACCAACAGCAAGACCGACTACAGGTAATCAGTAAGTATTTGAATACCAACAGCAAGACTATAGGTAATCTCCACATATGCCACCCTTATTGCATAAACCAATTTTGTTAACAGTCCTGTAACTAGCTGAAACCACTTTTTCTCTTATATTACTGTGCTGTTATTATTATTTTTTTAATAATTACTTTATTTAACTTTATTTATTTATTTATTTTTAATTTGACAAGTGAGGGACAGAGTGAGAGAGAGGGAGGGAAAGTGAGAAAGCAAGCTGCCAGGTCCGTGAGTCGAACCACAGTCGGCCATGTGGGAGTCCAGTGTCCTTAACCACTATGCTACCTACCATCCCTTATTATTTTTTTTTAATTGGTTTTTGCCTTCGGGCATGTACACTTGCCGGGGAGAGAGAGAGACAGAGACAGAGACAGAGACAGTGAGAGGGAAAGACAGTGCCCCGTTATCCACTCTTGCCTTCCTATAATTTATTCTCTTTATTGCAACCTGAGGTGTATTTTAGAAACTCGAATATAATTCTGACATTCCCTCTATCAAAACCTTTCTAAAACGTTCAGTTATCCAAGGATAAAGCCTCCAAACTTCATTCTTGCCAAATTCTCTGTGATGTTGAAGTTGTTTCACTTATAGAATACCCCTTGGGGTCTAATTCTCAGCCTTGAATTCCTTCCCCTCCTTCCCTCAGCTCCATTACCCATGGCCTATCTACTTTATCTTTTAATTTTCAGATTAACCAGCACAGAGTTGTCATTCTTGACTCCCTAAATGAAGTTAAATTTTCTTGATATATTTACATAGCATCCTCTATTTCTCCCTTCATAATATTGAACAAATAGTAATTTCCCAGGTAAACTAATAAGTACCATGAGACAAGTTATTGACCATTACATCTCCAGCTCTGTATAGTACACATTTAATATTCATTTGGAGACTCAGCTATATTAATGACATTTTACAGTAGTTTAAGATATGCATTTTTTCTGTGTGAGCAATATATTGTACATGACTATTTTGAAAAATTATATTCTAATCACTGAAAAATAGATTTGTTGGGTATAATAGTCTGACATTTGTTGAAAATTATTTTATTTAAAAGCAGTGGAAATTTCATGTAATTGAATAGTTACATTATGAATGTGAACTATTGACATTTGCACTTGGCTCATTATATGTTCATTATAATGCTGAAATGTTTTTTTGGGTACATATTTCATACATTTATGTGCAATACTGCATTTTATTTCTTCATTCAGAAAATATTTTTTTACTTAATGACTTATTGACCGACTACTATGTTTCTGGCACTGTCTGGGCACTGAGGATAAAGCAGAGACAGCCAGGGAGACAGAAAATCCAGAGACTACTATAAGAGCTTCCTAACTACCTCTTTGCTTCTGATCTTGTCTCCCACAGTCCATTCTTTACGAAGCAGAATGTTCTTATTAAAATACAACTTAGATCATGTCTCTCTTCTGTTCAAATCCCTCCAATAGCTTCCCAGTCTCAAGGAAGTTGGCCTGAGATGGTGGCCTCTGAAGAAAAGCCAGAATGTTTATATTGTAAATCCTTACAAGGTCCTATAAGATCTTCTCGAAAACACCCCTCAATCGCCTTTCTGGCTGCTTTGGTCACTCCAACTCTAAACACATTGGCCTCCTCTCTATTCTAAAGACAAATCAATCACAGTCTTTCCTTAAGGCCTTTACTTATGCTGTGTCTTCTGCTGGATCAATGTAATTCACTCTGTCATATCTTAGGCAGATTTTTACTTATAAAATCCTCTTCTCAGAGAGCGTTTCCTACTTAAACTACTGCTACATACATAAAGCAAAAATTACTAGAAATGATGTAGAACTTGAGATAAAAATATTGTAATTTTTTTTTTCAAACCACTTGTTTAATTATTGGGAGGATCACCCTACCAATATATCATAATACCTATTTTTGATACTTTTTTCCATAGCCCTTTTCACTGTCTAACATATTATATACTTTCTTTTGTAGGAGGTAAGCATGTATTCTTAGATTAATATTTAAATATATTTTTAAATAAAAGCATTTAGACAAATGTAATATAAATTTGTGTTTGTTTTATGGAACAGGTCTTAACTTTGGAGAAATCCCAGTCAACAAGTAAGTATTTTATTATTTAAACAAGCACAGCCAATAAATACACGTTAGGAGAAGGAACTTATAAGAATAACAACTAGAAAATATTTTAAAAATTAAATTCAGTAATCATATATTATAAAACTGTACTATGTGGGTTTTTTTACTTTAATAATTAGAGTAGAAAATTTATTTTTTATGTCTTACCTACACTTGCAGGTAAAGTTCTTGGATTAAAATATACTGCATTATATAGTTCTTCTAATCCTTTGATAATCCATTCTTGATTCATTGAAAAGATGTTTTTCTAGGTGTGTCTTAAATATTGACATTTCTCATAGTTCTTTGTATTCTTATTTTATGATACAGGCTATATTAAATGAGTAATGCTTTTTAAAGATTGATTTATGTATTTCTGAGAAAGTGAGAGAGAGAGAGAGACCAACCCCCAACTGGGATTTAACTCCATTTTCTTCAAAGCAATAATATACTTGGCTGCAAAGTAGACTTTTAACAAAAATTTAAAGTTGAAGAATTTTACTGAAGAATTTTCCTCTTTATCCAATAAAATTAGAACTAATTAATAAAAAGATAACTTTGAAAATCTTAATCACTTAGAAACTGAGAAATGTAATACTTTGCCCAAGAGGAAATCAAAACAAAAACTATTAACTATCTAAAAGCAGTGAAATAGAAAACTTCATACCAAAGCTAATGGGGCACCAAAAGAGCTAAACTCATAGGAATATTTGTAGCTTTAAGTTTCATCATTGTTAAAAAAGATAGTTTAAAAAAATTTAGCTTCTGCTATAAAGCATGTGCATTTGCCAAAGAAAAAGAGAGAGGGTGAGAAATCACCCCACGGGGGATGGCCATACTGCAATCCTCTCTTTTCCATTCTCCTTTTGGGATCTTGGGCATGTACACTCACACAGCTGATTTGTTTTCTAAACCACCAAGTCCAGGACTTGAAAAGCGGAGCTGGCCATGTGGGATCCAGTGCCTTAACCCCATGCCACCTGCTGGCCTTGTTCTCTCTACTTCCATGCCATTGAGTTTTTCATTTTCTGCCATAGAGTGTGGACATTCGGTTTAATTTAAGCAGGGATTGCTTTACAAAAATTAAAAATAATAAAAAATAAAAAGTTCAGGGCCAGCAGATGGTATAGTGATTATATCTCTGGAATCCCACGAGTCCCGGACACGGTGGTTTGAAAAATCATGATGGTCACATGTGCATGTGTGCCCAAGATCCTAAAAGGAGCATAGAGGAGAAGGGATTGCAGCCTGGCCATCCCCCCTCAGAAGTGATTTTTCACTTTCCCTCTCACTGTCTCTGTCTTTCTCTCTCTCCCCAGTGAGCGCACATGCCCTAAGGCAAAAAACCTCTAAAAAAAAACTTTAAAAAAGATATTTTGAGTAGGTAAGTTGAATTAAGAGCTGTTTTGACATGTTATATTTAAGAGATATATTAGACCCCCAAGAAGTAGTTGGATGTATGAGTCTGGATATAAGAGCTGGAGGTAAAAATTTGTGAGTCATTAACATATACATGGTAGTTAAAGTCATAAGACTTTTAAAAATCATTATTATATGGTATTTTATTATTTTTAAGTTTATATATAATAGTTGTACATCTATGTGGGGTACAGTGTGGCCTTCTAAAAACATGTACACAATGTGCATTTACAAGCAATACATCTGACAAGGGCTTAATAACAAGATTATATAAAGAACTCAAGCAGTTCAACAGCAAAAATAAAATAATCCAATTAAAAAATGGGCACTTGGGAAACCAGCAGTTGGCATAATGGCTATGTCGCTGGACTCCCACGTAGTTGACTGCGGTTCGCGTCCCGGACCCGGTGGCTTAAATCTCACACCGGGCGTTTGTGTGTGCGTGCCCAAGATCCCAAGAGGAGAATGGAGGAGAAGGGATTGAGGCGTGACCATCCCCCCTGGGGGGTGATTTCTCGCTTTCTGTCTCTCTGTCTCTCTCTGTCTGTTTGGCGAGCACACGTGCCCTATAGCAAAAACCTCTCTCAAAAAAAAAAGGGCACTTGATCTGAGTAGATAGTTCTTGAAAGAAGACATGCAAATAGCCAATAAGCATATGAAAAATATCTAGAAAAAATATCTAATCATTAGGGAAATGGAAATTAAATCCATAATGAGGTATCACCTCACCTTAATTAGAATGACTATTATTGAAAAAGAAGAAAGAAAGAAAATTGTAAGTGCTGACAAAGCTGTTGATAAAGGGCAACCCTCATGCATTGTTTGACTTTTTTTTTTTTTTTTTGAGAGAGGTTTTTGCTATACGGCATGTGCATTTGCCAAAAAGACAGAGAGAAACAGACAGAAAGAGAGAAATCACCCCCCGGGGGGGATGGCCAGGACACAATCCCTTCTCCTTCATTCTCCTCTCAGGATCTTGGGCATGCACGCACATGCGCCAGGCGTGAGTTTAAGCCACTGGGTCCAGGACTCGAACTGCGATCAACTACATGGGAGTCCAGTGACATAGCCATTATGCCAGCTGCTGGTCCCAATAAGACTCTTTTTTACAAGAGAGAGGCATAGAGATTTGTTTACTATAAGTTTAAACAACACAGGAGTCTTTCTAAGGAAATGAAGATCTGAAGAAGTAGTGAAATCTATGTATTTTTATGCCAAGTTTGATGAAGAGTGGATAGTTGTGGAGGAGTATGATAGTGGAAAGTATGATACGATCTAATGGTAATAAACTGAGAGGAATTTAACAAGACTTGTTACTTTGGATTCTTCTCAGTAACCCTTCATCTTCAGTGATAAAGATCTTCCATTCCATTGGGTGGAGGGAGAGCACGTCTAGCATATTAAAGAACAAAGTTAAATAGAAAAATAATGTAATCATAGATGCCAATATAGATAAATTATATCAATTATCAATTGAACTTGGGCCAGCTGTTGGTATGGTGGTTGATGTGGCTGAATCCCACATGGCCAGCTTTTCAGTTCGAGTCCTAGAAGTGGTGGCTTGAAAAACATGCCAGGCTCACATGCATGCATGCTTAAAATCCCAAGAAGAGAATAGAGGAGAAGGAATTGCAGCCGGTCCATTCCCCATAGGGGGTGATTTCTCACTTTCTCTCTCTTTGTCCCTCTCTGGTGAGTGTGCACACTCTACAACAAAAACAAACAAACAAATAAACTGAATGTTAGATGCAATTTGAGTTAAAAGGGGAACAAATGCTCAAATGAGAGAAATGATTTTGCTCTCCAGATTGAAAAATAATAGCATAGGGGACCAGCAGGTGGTGTGGTGGTTAAGGCGCTGGACACTCCCACATGGCCAACCAGGGTTCAAGTCCTGAATCTGGTGGTTTGCTTTCTCACTTCCTCTCTCTCTCTCATTATCACCCTATGCCTCTCTCTGCTCAAACTAAAAAATAAATGAATGAATAAATAAAATAAATAATTATTTTTAAAAAAGAATTATTTAAAAATAATAGCATACACTGTAAGAACTCCACATATTTTAATTTACTTAATAATCATAATGCAACTGCTACATGAAGTAGATGTGATAATTCCAATTTCAAAGAAAGCAAGAATTTCTTTAAGAGAGGTTAATCTCTCTTAGAGGTTAATTTCTAGGTTGTAGCATTTTTAAGTGGAGAAGTTGGAATGGGAACTTGAAGCAGAAATTAAGATTTATTCTGAAATGATAAGTAAATTGAATATAGATGTTTTATGGATTCATGGTTGCATAATCCATGAATATACACACATTCATATGTGTACATGAAAACTTCACTCCTAAACTGATGTGGTTTGGGTAGTATTTGCTTCATTTTTGTTTCCTGTGACCTACTTTTCCCACTCATAAGACAAGCTGTCAATGTCAAACCACAACTTAGAATTGCCCGTTCACGGGACCAGCAGTTAGTGTAATGGCTATGTCACTGGACTCCCATGTAGTCGACCGTGGTTTGCGTCCCAGACCTGGTGGCTTAAAACTCATGCTGGGTGCATGTGCGTGCGTGCCCAAGATCCCGAGAGGAGAATGGAGGAGAAGGGATTGCGGTGTGTCCATCCCCCCTGGGGAGTGATTTCTTGCTTTCTGTCTGTCTGTCTCTCTCTGTCTGTCTGGTGAGTGCACACGCCCTATAGCAAAATCCTCTAAAAAAAAAAAATTGCCAGTTCACATCATCTCAGAGCAAGGTACTTTAAAGGCCTTATTTGAGTACCGATGATGAAGCAGAGAAATGAATATTAACCCCCAAAATCAGTATAAGGAAAAAATTTAAACATACGATTTTTTTTCTAGAATTGTAGGAATAACATTATGAAAATACTTAAGAGGGGCCAACAGGTGGCTTAGTGGTTAAGGCGCTGGAATTCCCACGTGGCCGACCATGGTTCAAGTCCTGGACCTGGCTGCTTGCTTTCTCACTCTTCCTCTCTCTTGCTCTGACAAAACTCATGTGAAATAATGAATAAATAAATAAAATAATTCTTTTGAAAAATAAAGTAAATAAGATCAAAGTAAATATCAAAAGGTTCGAACACTGATTAAATAAGATCACAGATCATTACAAAACAATATTTAATTATCTATGTAACTGAAGTCACAGTAAAAGACTTTAAAGGCAAATACAGAAGGTTATATAGAAAACTTAGCCCTTTTGGGTCCAGCAGGTGGTGTGGTGATTGAGACTTTGGACTCCCACATAGCTAACCACAGTTTGCGTCTTGGACCTGGTGGCTTGCTTTCTCACTTTCTCTCTCTGGTTTGTGTATGTGCCCTTTAGCAAATTTTAAAAAATAATAATAATCATAATAAATAAAATTAAACATTTTTAGAAGAAAACTTAGCACTTTTAATATAATATTGAGAAGACTCAATTTTTGTAATAATCAATGACCTGACAAAGAACATGAAGTATATAAGAAGTTATTTTGCTAAGATACAGAATCTTTGTTTTCTAGTCGGATTACTTCAAAGGTAAAGAAAAAACTTTATACAATTTACTTTTTTA